ACGTTGAAGACCAAGGCCATACCCCATATATTCAATAAGGAAAGCAGGAAAATCATAAAAAGATAAAGATATCACACGGTATTGACAATGTTTATTAAAAAATATAATACTTATTTACTGACCGCATATTTGTTCACTTGGTAAAATTACATTATTTCCAATTTCAACAGCATTACTTTGAGTAGCATATCTATATAAAAATAAAAATATTATTGAAAATGAAAAAGTTAATTATAGAGATCCCAGAAGTATTACTTAGAAGGAAAACCATTTTGATCATAAGGTTGGGGAATAGCATTGAAAGTAAAAATCGCTTTTTCCTGGCCTATAGTGTTCTTCTGAAAAGTGATCATACAATACGTTGCCAATCATAACAACGATCAATTCCAAAAACTTTTAGCCATTTTCTTCTCATGTATGCATTCTTGGTTATTCTATATTAAAACAAATATTAAAAATACAATAAATAGAGTTTTTTTCAAAACAGTTTGGCGCGAGTAATTTCTAGAACCCAATTAATACTCACGCATGATAAATTACTCCTGGACGATTGACCTGGTGTTTTAGATTTATTGCCGCACACCATACACGTATACATTTTTATGCAATATTGAAGTTAGCCTTATCGTAGAACGGTTATCTGTATTGTAGGCAGTGGGAACTTGGAAAAGAGAACTCGGTCAATGGGCGTGAGTAGCCTCGATCACTCAGTCTTGGAATGTATACCGGTATCCTATAGACCGACGATTGTGTTTTGAGGTGTAAGTTTTCTCGTCGTGGTTAATCCAGTCATCTGTAGAATAGTTGGGCGGTTAGATATCACTTGTCATATTTTTTAAAGATATAGTATGCTTTAAGTATAATTCATACATAACAAGTCTACCGAAATCTCGCCGAGCACTGTACAAAGCAAGAATGAAAACGCAAAAAACCACAACTTTCTGATTTCACAGTCACAGACTCGATGGATATTATTTCTATTATTAAAATGAATGTTGAAAAGCGCCTATTTATTATTTAGCCGGACAAAACACGCACAGTAAAAAAAATAAATATTCTTTATAACCTAAACCACGACGAAAGCAAAGACAAACCGACTAGAAGGGTGTAACAAACTCCTGTAATCACTGTCTTGGGATTATAAAAACTTAGAGTCTATTACTCTATGATTATAAATCAGTGAAGAGTACTTTTGTTCGTTCCATCGGTACATAGTACATAGTTACAAATTACCAAATGGTCCCCAACAGTAGGAATTCTGTTCGTTCTACCTACAAGGACGCCGTATCGTTAATACCAGTGGCGTAATAATGAAATGAGGGGTGTTTGAGTAAAGATTAAAATCAAGTTTTTACAGTTTTCGTATATAAATAAATTTAGGGTTCAGCACTTGACTTGTTGCACTAAAAATTATGCTCAAATATATGCAGCTACATTTTTATATTATTTTTGAAAAATTCATACAACATAATACAATTTTTGTAATAAAAAACTAAAAAATAAGTAGGTAAATAAACATGATAAAAATAATTTAATCGCGGGTATACAAATTGTAATATAAGTCGGTACCTATAGGTACCTATATATTGATTAAATGAATCAGAGCTTAACTTATTAGAAAATAAGTCACTTATGTCACTTATTTTCAAAATGTACCTAAATTTATATTTAAACTGCATATGGCCACCAACTTCATATTTGAATGTACAGTAACATGCCTGAATCAAGGAAAAAAAGTCCCGATGAAAATGAATTAAAATATATCAAAACTGAAGTACAAATATATTAAAATTGTATTGAAAAATACATTTAAGTTACATAAAATATTATATAATATCATAAAAAATGTTAATTGCTTACTTAAATCATATATTAAATTATAATAAATTTAATTAATACAAGTCCAAAATAATAAAATTTAATACAATAATCAATAATAAATATAATTATAGTACCTACCTATATAATTATAATAAAAATGTAATATTATAATTAAGTACACCTCTTTCTTGTGTTATGATTTACGGCTGTTGAATAGGCCTGTTTATAGGTATGTTAGATATATGTATAACATATTATTATACCAAAATCTTTGTTTTTATGTAATGTCCCTAATCAAACTTTCGTATATTTATTAGTCTACTATATTTGAAAAACCGTCCGGGATGAATTCCTATTATAACAAACCATAGGCGTGTTTTTTAGTTATGATTAAAATAAAGGAAGTTCCTAACGTTATTATTCTAATTTCTAAATTATAAACATTATAAATTCAAATGGGTAATATGATTTAATCATTTGCTATTAAAATTGTGTTTATTTTAATCTATATTGTTTTTGTAATTTCAAAAAAAATTAAGTAAGTTAGAATCAATTAAATCATAGGTACCTATGTAGAGATTCAAAGACAAATATTTAATAACTGGTAAGTGTTGTGAAACAGATGTAGGTATGTAGGTAACTTTTTGTCACTTTATGAATAAATTTAGTCACTTAGTCACTTTTTAAATAGCTTTAACCACTTCCAGCCCTGTATGATGGACGGAGAACACAGCTATTGCATGTTTTGGTCATTTTAATCTATTGTGAAATAAAATTGATTTTAAAAATACTGGCATAAAATACTAGGTTCCAAATAAGTAATAGGTAACGAATAACGTGATATGCGAACCCCGTGATAAACGAACACATATCTACTTATTTTCATTTCTTCGTACAATCTAGAATCTAGATGTCAATTATAGTTTTAACACAGTCTTGTCACAAAAAGACTTATAAAATCTTACGTACCATATGCAAAAAATAGGGTCCATGATATCTTCCCAAACATTTACTAAAGTTTTTAAGCTTGTTCAATTTTATAATAGTATGATTTTAGGCTTCAGCTTCCCCAAATCTCAAAATTAGCTCCTATTGTACCTAACCAAAACTAATATTTTTAAAGATATTTTTCAATTGTTATCCAAATATGATTTTCTCGATCCATTGTATGTAAGTACCTATCATAAATTAAAAAACTATCAATAAACCCATATAAAAATCATTGTAGGTATACGAAAACGATTCTGAGAGAGACGAAAACGCGTCTGTCAGCCTATACATAATTAAGTAGGTATAACCTATTTCATATATTTGTGTCATTAAGTATTTAGTTTTACTATATAGGCATTGGTAATAACCTTAGATTATGTATAGAAATCATGTATAGGTAGATAAATGAATAAAATAAAGAATTTGATGAAAGTTTCAAGTATATGAGAACTTGTTAATTTAAATTTACAGACGAATATTCCATGCAAGAAGGCTTTAAAAGCCTTGTAAAAATTAATTTGACTTTCCGGTTTTTTGTTAAATTTAGGAAAACTTAAGGGTCATCTTGTATTAAAAATTAAAGCTTAGATATAAAGTAAATATTATTTTCTATGAATTTCAAATTCGAAATAATTTGCCAATTTTTTAGTTTTTGATGAATTTTATCAAAATATTAATTTCAGACGGTCATTAAATAAATTATTGCAGTGGATTTACGCTCAACTTTTTTTTTAATATTCAGTAACTTATGAGGAACGTTGAATTACATTTTCAATAGTTGTTTGACTAACAGAAATTTTCTTATCGACAATAGTTTTAAAAAACTAATAAAACTTTCTCATGCCTATAAATAGCTCAAAAAGAGTCGCAATATTTCGAAAATTACATGGTACTTCGAAACAGCTAATTTTCACGTCGCTTTTGAAACTACTTTGAAATTTTTACTTTGACCCCCCCCCCCCCCCCAAAAGTACCAACTAGATTCACTTTCCTATCAGAAAAGATACTTTGAAGAAAATCCAAGCACTTTTACTGTCCTAAAAGTTGATGACAGACACAAAAAATAAAATAAAAAATAAAACACACATCATTGTAAAATCAATACATTCATTGTTCCACTCAGAATCTAAAAAAACCAAAAACTATTTATCATCATTCTTCAATCTTCAGACATCAGGGTATAATTAATGAAACAATGAACTTGAAAACTGTCATTTTATCGAATTCAAATCTATTTAGAACATTAATCATTATTTCTCGATGTTTCTACTAAACCCGGTTATTGTGGTCGGTTTTATTATTATCACTTATCACGTCAGCAGCGACCCCAGCGCTATAGTACGACAATTTATAGTCAATTAAATTAATTCAATTTATTTTGTCTCGTGCCCACAATGGCACAATCCACATCTAATTCTGACAAAAACATAATTACGATATACGAATCACCTGTCAGTTGGTGTTCACTTATATGAGTTCCAAGTTTCCGACAGTCTGTGTGATCGTGTATTATGTCGTATGGTATTATACATTTATACCTATACCCAGTAAACACAGCACGTATAATATACGTGTATACTGTATACTAAGGATAATATTGGTGTATATACGTAATTAATATTCGTATAATATACGTTAATACCGTGTATTATTGGTTGGTTGAACTTACATCGATTTACGTGTAAGGATATACGAATATTTTAGGTTTAAAAATACGTTGATACTATTATTAGTATTAGTATACTAATTAATATAATAATAATACCAACACGGCAATATATGATTTTGTTGTGAGTTTTTAATACGTAATCCAAAATTTTTTTAATTTGATTATTCACAAATTTTCAGAGCCTTCTTTTTGATGAAGCTTCAAATATGTTAACTAAGTCTCCAAAATAAAACTAATTAAAGTAGTTGATCAAAGGCCAGGGCATCATTAACCAATAGGCTGAGTAGGCTACAGCCCAGAGCGCCAATCGGCCATTGTAAAATTAGAGGAGCCTCAAAATAATTTTTATCACGAGTGTCGGAATGTACCATGATTTTCCATTTAGCCTACTTGCAAGTTCCAACTCCTTAATCAGGCCTTGTCAAATGCTGAAAGATCCAACAAATAAAAAAAAAAAAGGTGCTCTGCTGTACAGTAGATTACAAGTGGGTCACTGTATAATGGATAATATTAAATTTGAGTTCAAGATATAATATCATTGTATAAGAAAAACGATTCTGAGCGGAGACGGTATGTAAGTCTAGGTATAAGACATATTATATACTTATCCATCGTATTAAAAAAAATGTACCTAAAATAAGTAGGTACCTATACTAAATTCCAAATTAATCATATCACAAAATCCATTAGGTACTTATAATGCGTTATACGCCAACAACAAACCCTGATACTATCATGGTCCATACTCCATAGATATATAATAGTGTACTTTAGAAGTTTCAAGTACCCACGAATAATATTATACATCACAACAAAATAACTAAAATAGTTATTCTATTTTGTCCAAAGTTGAACTTAAAATGACTATAAAAATAAACTGTGCTTATTTATTTTTTAGATTTTTTGGTAACAGAATTAACTACTTACGTGGAAACTTGTTCTAAATTTTCAATCCTTAGATATATAAGTTGAACATTTTATACATTATTAACTACAAAATAATTACTCAATTTTAAATTTGATAAATTTTGTTAAAATTCGATCTTTAAATGTATATAAAAAAAAATTGTGCCAATGTATTTTTAATATTTTCCAACTGATATTGTAATTATATATCAGGAGCCTTATATTAAATTTTTACACTTTTTGGCCCAACAGAAAAAACTTTATTGATATTTATAGAATAAAAAACTATGGACTTAAAACCAATTAATTTCAAATCTTTAACTTAATTTTTTCTGTGTTTATTAACTTGATCTATTTTAATATGATCATATCAGGTCGATTCACTCTAACTTTTTAGAAAATTAAGAAAAAACTAAAATAAACGAAAATTTTGTATGCATAATATAACGAATACCTCGACATGAATCTAAATATTTTGAAAATGTTATGGTTTTTGATTCCAATATAGACAATCAATGAAAATTGGATGTATTTACAGTAATTTATTTTAGAGTTACACCACTTACACGAAATACCGAAACCGATTTTACGTAAAAATTCGCGTTTTCCTATATTTGTTTTTGTTTTTCCCGGCGCTTTTGGAGACTAGGTAAATACTGTTCATTTCGACATCCCCTATGCACCTACTAGATTCACTTTGAAAAGACGAAAATCGAAGCATTATTTCGACTACTTATCGTGTACACAGACCCAAATATTAAATTTTATTACGCAGCACGTAAATTTGCTTATTGTTTCAATATAGGTCGATTCCAGTGGCGGCTCGTGCCTAGGTGTGCAGGTGTGCAGGTGTGCAGGTGTGCGCACAATACATAGATTAATTAGATATAATAGTGAAAATGTATAATAAAAATGTATACCTAATAATGAATAAATTTTAATACAATATATTCTGTTAAACTGTATTTATTATGTAAAAAAATTAAATTTTAAAAACAAACAACTATATTTATTATTATACTCCTAAAATGTAATCGAGTTATGCAACAAATACTCATCAACTGGTGTGCAGCTCAGTCTGAACACCGTCTGTTCGTGTAAAATACGTTTGGTTGTCGAGTGGGGGAATCGGCAATTATATGTGACTTTGGTGTGCAGCTATAGCTATAGCTATAGCTCCACACTCGTCAGGCGGTCGCACCCGCACGTGATATACAAAATATAAAATATACTAATTATTATTATTATTAAAGCTAATAAATATTTAACTTATTACATTTTTTATACTTAAAACAGATTAATTTTTTTTAAAACAAACTTTTGCAATAATTGCACACCACCTAGGTACTTTGAACACCACTGGTCGATTCACTCTAACTTTTGAACTGACGATGCTAAATGTGATCTGCTTATCGTAAATTGACTATATAAGACGGAGACAATAAAATGCCCGTGTTACGTCTTAAATCGTGGTTCGTGGAGCTGCATCGTTCACGAAATTTGGGACTTCGGTAAAATGTATAATATTTTAATGCCCGCGATTCTGTCTTATCACTATGTACAACGAACTATGATAGTAATAATTGTTATCAAATAAATAACAACATAATAATATTATTATCTTTTTGATGCAGACTTTAAATTTGAATCACTCGCGAGTCTCGATTATTTGAAATTTGAACAAAAATACAGACTACAGAACTACAGTCGTAGGTACAGAGTTCTATTCATAAATGTTGGTACAAAATCACCATGGATTAGTGTATATTTTTTAGTAAAACATCCAATGTATCGCCTCGCCACATTACGTTAATTTTCATTTGTAAGTATTATTTTCTAGTTGTACTGATTACATTTCTTAATAATGCGGAGTCAGTCTAATTTGCTAATTTGTTCACAAATATAGGTAGATTTCCAAAAAATCAATGAAAAAAAAGGAAATAATGGCTACAAATGTTCGAATTATCCCGATTACTACCTGGCATAGAATCTGCGGTAATCATTTCTCAATTATTAGTGATTGCAAACAATGCTCATTAAATTAGTAAATATGGTCAGAGGCTGTCTTAAAACATAATCCAAACCACTTGTCTGGGATAGAGAAGAAAAATAAATGTTAGTAATTTACAGCAACATTGGTACTACTCTGAGCACGACTAGTAAATGGCATCTAAGAGTTAACATAATTCATAAATTTGGTACCTATTTATGTATTTTTATTTATAACTTGACATTTTCAGAAAATGTTGTTTCTCCAACGACGAGTTAGAAGAAAATGAACAGACGAATAAAGGATTTGGAGGCCAAACAGTTTATGATTATTTTAATTCGCCCAGAAAAGCCTTACATACTCAATAATGTCAAATTCATACACACATGTGTAAGTATATCACACAAGTATAAAATTTTAAATGTTTACTCGTTGTGCACAGATAGAGAGAGAGAGAGAGAGAGAGAGGACAAATGGTGCACTGACGGAACTGGCATATTTTTAACAAGAGTTTTAATTTTACAATTTTGCTGAACAAGAATCCAATTTTAATAACGCTGAGGACCACAACATAATATTGAAATTGCAAAGAAACACATAACTAGTTTTGAAATCGGTATATCTTCCGAAGGGAAAGTGCATCTAGATGGATGCGTTAAACAGGTAATGATTGAATGTTCCCAGTTGTTTTCAAATACATCGGGAAAAACAAAAAGATAATTTAGGAAAAATTGATTTTGTTTTATAAGTGTGAGAAAAAAAAATCCCTAGGTATAGATACATGATTTGTCTGCCGAATGTTCCTATTAGCATTTTCTATACACCATACAATTTTTAAAACAATTTTACTCTTTTTTACCTAGTTATGCGGATAATACATTTAAATTTTTTCGATTAGTTATGTTTTTAAAATTATTGACAATATAAATTTTATTGCTATGCCAATGAGTTTGAAAATGTAATACGGGCATCCTATTATAGCTTCTATAATATCTGTTCACAAATGTAAGGGATACATAGCCACAATTTTTCATGAGCATTTAAGGTTCACACTTCGACAAATTATTCATCAACAACCTGCAAATTATTTTGTAGTTAAAAATGTATTAAATGTTCAATTGTATATTTAGCTTATGCTTATAGTAAACTGTTCCCATTTGCAACGAGGAAAGACAAACTTCTTTGAAAAAAGAGTATGCAATTACCAAAAAGCTTCAGTGGCTGTTATTAAAATTATTCAACTATCAACAATGGACATGACTGATGAAGACTTTTAAATTATTTATATTCTGATACCTATTTCGTTTAATTTGTGTACTAATTTTACCTACTTTCCCCCCAACCCTACATCACCCATCAGAAAGTAATTTTAGTTACTTTATTTAACCAAAAGAAAACTATACCTACACACTGTGGAGTTATGTCTGTGAATTAAATCATTTTGTCAATGACTAATTTAAGAAAACTTTATTTTTAAATATGGAAAATGGCTACTCCTGACTCTTACAGGTACTTCTGTTACACAAATAACATTATTTTTATTTAGTTCTATCTTTTATATGATACCTACCTAATAACTTTTTAGATCAATTTGTGAAAAATTTGGTGTGGGGGATATTTGCATTTTACTGATAGAGATAATCACATATCTACATGATAATTGATAAGTAAAAACCATCACAAATAATTATTATAAAATAATGTATAAGTTATATATTTAATATAAGTTATAACAATATGGCATTGTATAGATTTTATTAAAGTATAATCCACGCTCCACGATGTAGAGTAGAACTTCAGAATTTGTAAATGAAAAACAGAAGCATACTACACGGTGTCACATCTAGTATCATATTAAAATTTATAGTTGACATTTTTTTTCAAAAAAATGTAGAAAACATGTGATTTACTTTTAATATTATCTTAATTTAGACGATCGATAAATTAGAAATTAGATATTTTAATATTTTAAATATTTGTTTTGACTATTAGGCAACCTCAGTGTCATTTTTTTTTCTTCAATGTGACAAGGTAATAATTATATTTTCTCAGGTACCTACACTCTTTGTAATCATTTAAATTCTTGTATTACTAAAAAATATTTTGAAACAAACAATTGCTTCTGGACCCACAAAACTTTTAATATCTAGCAGATATTCTCTGATCCCAATCATATCTTATAATTTGAAATTCATTAAGCTATTAATTTTTACTAACATAATTTGTTGACTCCAGTTTCTTTAAAAAAGTTGTAGTAAATTGGTTTTGTGTAATTTAATTATTCTTTTCGCATTAATCTAAGACCACTCTGTCTGTGGTTGACGGGTTATGAACAATTTTATATCCATTCATTCTATTCAGAGGATGATGGAATCCATAACACATTAATTGTGATTCGAATAAAAGCTGTCTACACCTAAATTGGTAAATTGGCATTTTATTTTTTGAAGATATTTTAGATATTACCTCAATAACTGGATGTACTATGCTTTGAATTCAATTATATCAATGATACATTATAGATGACATTTTCAAGTATTACTATTAAGAGATATTGGTTTTGAAATATACTAACTTGTTTTTTTATTTTTGTAAATATTACCATTTTTGCCATATTTTGACAAATATAGAGCTTATGAATATACCTAATAGATGATTTATATCTAAATTTAAATTTTTATAAGTAGATATTATATGAGTAAGATTTTTAACAATTTTCAACATCAAAACAAGAAATTTAATTATTTGGTAGTCGTCTGAGCCAATAGGTAGATAAATTAATATTATGTGGTGTTCTTATCTTTTGGAATACGTTTTTTGTAACAATTTATTTTAACAATTAAAACGTATCTGCTATTGATGGAAGTTTGGTAGAATTTCTCCTGAATAATTATCAATAAGAAAATATAAAAATGATATATTTATTTTATCTATCTTAACATTTTACTATATAATAAATAAATAAACAAAACAAATAATAATATAATATAAATATATAAAAAAAAAGTATTATATTATATATAAAAAAAAAATATCTATATAAATATATATTATATATTAATGAATAACAAAAAAATGATGAAATATTTTTTCAATTTAAAAATATCCTTAAGGTACCTTCGACCATATCACCATAGACGTCACATTTGGCAGGAGGTGTGGAGATGCAGCTCGCACAATACCATCCATGGCCACAGTCCAACAGTATATATTGCGCCTGGTCTGGTACATATTGTACATGGCGCATACATCCAAGGCACTGACTTCCAGTTGGATCGAGTAATGAAGTATTTGGCATCCATTTACCTTTTAATAAAAATTGTATATTTTAATTATAAAAGAAAAAAATCCTCAATTTACTGTATCATTATTAATATTTACCATCTCCTAGGTTAACGTGCATTATATGGTTGGGCTGTGTTGTGGGAAATTCTACTTTGCAAACTCTGCATTTATCTAATCGAATCGCACACTCATCACAGCACCATCCGTGACCGCAAGGCACCAAAATGTTGGCCGAATTTACTTGGTTCCAACTTTCAAGTCAAAGAAACATCTGTCTACAGGATCACCTTTAGAATAAAAAGTATAAGTGAGTTTTTATTTTTCAATTCGGTTTAAGAAGACGTTACAAGGACATTTGTTGTCTCCATCTTACAAGTGTGTAACATAGCAAATTGTAACCGTAGTAGAACACTTTTTGCTCCGTTAGCTTAAAAATTAGATTAAATTGCCCTCTTCTAAAATTTAAGGCTAAGTTTATTATATTTCATATTGTAGGCTTTTTATTATATTTTAACTTTAAAGCAAGTTATGAGTATTTTAATTTGTACATAAAATTTACAATTTTAAAATTAAAAATAAATATTATTATTACAAAAAAATAAATTTTTATAACTCGCTTTAAAATTAAAATATAATAAAAAGCCTATGAGATACCCTAGACAATAATCTTACCTTTACATTTTATGAGGTAAATTCACTCTAATTTTTAAACTAGTGGAGCTAAACATGATTTTCTGAGAGTAAAATTAGGTATGACTGGTGAGCTGGTTGAATATTTTGTTCTTAAACAAAATGGAAAGTTATTAAGCTAATGTTTCAGTATTATAACATTTAAAGTGAATCTACCGTCAACAAGAGCATCATCTATGCCAAGCTCAACTATTTCATAGTCCTCTTCCTCCACTAACGTATCATCGATAGCTGGCTGTTCAACTTTAATACAAATTAAATTGTAGAATAAGTGAATATTTATTCATAAATAATTTATTTTATTTATTATTTTTAAATTTGTTAGAATAATATACAATCTGTAATACAGTTACAATAAGCATATGAGCGTAGAAGAATAAATTACAAAAATTAGTACTTGGGTGGAGAACCGCCCAATGGTGACACTCCAACATTTTATTTATAGAAATACTCTAAAGCATACTTTCGTTTTCTGGCAGATCAAGGCGTTCATTTCGGTCTTCATTATTTGCTAAAAAGTCATATTTCGTTAAGACAATATATTTTTTATCATATTTTATTTCTATATGCTTACCTTGAATCTGGATTGGCACCTAAATATTGTCTGAATTCCCTATAATATTTATATACATATAAAGTATAGTAACTAGAGTGTATAATGTATTTTTAACTTAAATGTATAGTTGTATATTACTGAGAAGACGGTGATCTTCAGTTAATCCAAGGTTACCACCTGGTTGTTCGCGCACATTTGGATGCCGTACCATTCCATAATTTTCTGGAACTGCTGCTGCCCGTTGACAACCACGGCCCCTCCTAGGTCTAGCAGCTCCACGAATGTGGAATGGCGGCAATACAGGTGGCAGAGGCTGAAGTCCAACCACTGGTAGCTGTCCAGGAATGAAATCTTCAAGAAGGATTTCCATAATTCCATTTTATTGTCATTTAGTTTATACACCCAATTGAATTTATATGGTACCTACTATTAGCTAAATGGCCTATTTGCATATTTATATACCCTCTCACGGAATAAGATACTCTTCTTAAATAAGCCATTGTGTCATAGCGGCCATAGCTTATGTTTTGGAGAGCATCAGCCAAAATTTGTATTACATTTCGCATGGCTGTTTCAAAGTCTGATACAATGCTTACATTTTGCCAGTCAAAAATATCTTCCGGAAAATTATTTCGCACATATTGCCACAGTCCTATATAGACGTTTTCTGTTATACGATTTAGTAATGCATATACCACAGGAATTGACTTGAATTACAAATGTAAATTGAAGAAAATAAAATTTAAATAAACCAAATATGTAAGTAAATTGATTATCTAATGTTAACAGATTTCTTACGACATTGTCTAAGACAGCGTGGATTGTGATCAACTGCTTGGCATCAGCAGGAATTCGCGGAATGACACCAAATGTGCCATCAATTTCCAAGACTCTTGCTTCACTTAGGTACGGAGCAATGCGTCGTAAATATGCCAAATTAAAAAAAATCAATCCTCCAAAAATCAATTCTTCATTGATTATGAACTCCAAGTTGCCATGGAAGAATGCTGCATTATCGTCTACAGAATAAAGTAGACGACTTTGCCATGTCGGTGACACAATAATCTCTCCCATGACCCTGAGATTATCTGGTGTTGGTGGATTCACAGTTCGTCGCACATATCGCATTGCCCGTAGTGCTTGCTCACGAGACACCTCTATAGCTGCATTTGGAAATCTAAAAAATTGTTATTCAGGTATCAGTACATTTTGACATAACTCTAAATGATGTATTTAAATAATTTTGTGAATTTGTTTACCTCCTCGCTTCTTCTTCTAGAATTGTCTGTGCAGGTGTCCCCTCTGTTAAAGCACGCCGTCTCATTGCATCGTAGAATGCCCCAATCTCTATTTCAGGCCCTACGAGATGATTGTGTGGTTGATACACTACAATCGGACTATTTTCTGGGAATATCGACATTGATGCAGTAGCAGTACATCCCCGTTCGTAACGCGAACATCGAAGCTGTCTATAAGGTAATTTTTTAAGGTATATTAATCACATAAAGGTCTATCAACCAGTGTACTCAATATTAATGCATTATATTTTTATAAGTATTCAATACTAACCGTCGATTAGTGGATTCATGATTTTGCACATATGTGTATCCAATATCATCGGCATATACCAAGTGACCTCTCAGCCCTGGTACTCTCCTCGATGAAGCTCCTTCATTGCCAAGAAGAATATCAATCATTCTATGGGGTGACCAAGATCTCGGCCTGAATCTTTCACCATGTTCATCTGATGAATTGTGTACATACATTTTTATATTAAAAATTATTAAGCAAATACTAGTTTTACATTTGTTTTAAATCTACAAATTATTTTATTTTTTGTCACTAAAACGTTGAATTGTAATTGAGAAAGTTAAGATATTTATGTATATTATATAAAATTAAATATAGAAATATAATCATCAATGTTAAATTATTTTTATTAGCTCTTAATAATTAAACTAAACATTAAAGATATTTGTAACTTAATTTTAAGGTGACCGGTCAAAATATCTCCGCAAAAATATATCCGGTCAAAATATCTCCAGTTCAAAATATCTCCAGTACAAAATATCTTCTGTTAAAAATATCTTTAATGGAAATATCTCCCATGAAAATATTTTATATTAATATTAATTATTTTATAACTACAATTATTAAAAACAGATGAAAAACTGATGTCTAAAGTGATTACCGCAGTAAGTACATTAGTATTTTAAAATATTTTATTGTAATCATAATATGTAATTTTTAAAATAATATGTAATTATTATTATTTATTACAAGTACAAAATAAATGTTTTATTGTAATATAATTGACTGTATTTATAATATAAAATCCGATCAAGATATAAGTTAAAATTTAAGATAGTGGGCAATTCCCCTCAAATAATTCATTAGTGTAATTTCGTTGTATTGACTTACGATTTTAAACAGTCTTTTACTAAATTTCTAGGAGTTATACAGACGTTTTTGCTTCTTCTTTTATATTTGTTATATTTTTTTTTTAATTTTTACTTTACCAATATCTGGTGCGTGTGAGTAATGAACAGATCCTTTTATTATATCCCCTAAAATTAAATTAAAAATTAAAAAAGAGCTAATTTAGTTAAGTTGTATTAATTTGTTTTATGTATATTATGTTTAGACGTTATAAAATTTAAATTTATTATAAATGTCAACGTTTTGTAATGTATAGATTTTATGGTTAATTTTTAGTAAATGATACAACTAAATCCAGGCCTTAATAATTAATAATATAATAATTACCTATTTCTTCTCGAGTGGTTGTATAGCATGAAGTACATTTGTATGTTTTGTACTCGCCAAATTAATTTGTTCACACCTTCTTTATAGAACGTATGAAGATATCCATTATGCAATAATAATTTGTTGCCTTTTTGACTTATAATAAATTATAGAGGCATTTTTTAATTTAAATAGTGAATCTGGACCTAGGTTAATCGATACAAGCTGTGTGTCTACTGACACACTGTCGTATCGATACAGTTGTTACCTCGATAAAATCGTTTACCATCGTTTGTAATCGCACTCGTAATCGTGAAAAATATATCAGATAATACAAATTGGCCAGTGTGACAGTGTAATATTGTGATTAGTTATTTTTGCCTTTCGGATTATTTTCTAAACATTATTACTAGAAAATGTACTTACTTCGGTACCTAATCCCTAATACTTTAGACATCAGTTTTTTTATGTACTTTTAATAATTGTAGTTATAAAAAAATCAATATTAATATAAAATATTTTCATGGGAGATGTTTCCATTAAAGATATTTTTAACAGGAGATATTTTGTACTGGAGATATTTTAAATCGAAGATATTTTGAACTGGAGATAATTTTGACTAGAGATATTTTGTTGGAGATATTTTAACCGGAGATATTTTTGAGGAGATATTTTGATATGGAACCAATTTTAATACTATGTGATACCACTGATCAAGTTCAAAAAAGTTTAAATAATTATTTAGACTTACCTGCCATACTGGTAAATCTTGAAAAAAATCAAACAAAGTCAAACCAAAAGACACTTTACTGTTAACTTACAACTGAGTTGACGCTAATTAAGACTGTATAACATACGTCTAGTGGCTTTTATAGAAAAGTGTTATACCCCCCCCCAACCTTTTAAAAACATCACGTAATAATTTTGAATGACAATGATAAATTCTTAAAAGTAGATGGGGCTAATGGTTCTATAGGTACCTCAGAATATTTATGCAAGCCAAGTTAATTTCTTCGAAAAGCCGAGTAGCCGGAGAAAGTATACATTTGCTTAGGTTCAAGAATATTCCAAAATGTTTGAAAACTCGAAAATCGGAAAACTATGAAATATATTTTATGGATTCTGCA